GGAGCAGGTGCCATTGGCCAGGCCCCACGCTGAGCAGACAGGCTGCTTGCAAGCTGCAGGCACCATCACCCACCCACTGGTCCCTCAGGTCACTCCCAGCCAGCAGCAGTAGAACAGGACTCTGGCAGGAAGGAAACTAGAGTCCCTCATTTGCTGTGCGGGACTTTTTCAGCTAGGTCTTCAAAACTGCATTTTTGCTTCTTTACAGCTGGTTTGAGAAGACTGACTAATGCTTGAAAGAAGGTCAAGATAGCAGCTATGTATTAGCCCTTTATTTTGTTCTCAGATAGGCAGGATGGCCGTGGGAGCCCACATGACAACCCCCAGCATCACCCTGCTGTGAAGCCAGGCTGTGTATTTCCCCTCAGTTCATCCACACAGCTCTGCAGTCTCATACTGCTCCTAAAAATAATCATAGCCTGCAAAGCAGCATGAGGGGCAGGCCTTCACATACCCATGTCAGTCAGGATTAAAAAAAAATAAAATGCTTTCCTCATCCCCTAGACTAAACAAACAGACGATGCCCATTCACAGCTCCCTACACATCCCTCCCAGCAGCAAGAGTTGTTTTGGCTTAGGGACACGAAGCTATCAGAACTGGCTATAAACTGTGACCCTCTCAAAAGATGAGTCACCGACCAGTAAAGTGAAAGCACTGAGCCTAAAAGCACTGATTCATGCCTAGATTTCTCTCTCAGAAGTTAGGCAGCACTATGAGACACGTTTGCTAGCCCTCATGCACTGCAATCTGACAGCTGATTCAAGACTGCATGTTAGGGCCAGTGCCCTATATGTAGTGGATGCAGATTGCCTATATTTTCCACACTCTACCTTATCAAGTCCTTTGTAGCATCAATGTGGTATCTAAATCCTCTCCCAAAGTCAAGAATGACATGCACTTCTGAACAAGAAGTTTCGGTCAGACACTAAATAACACCCTGCTACTGGTAAACAAACAAACCAAGATGCAGATAATTCCCCCAAGAAGGCAGAACTGCCTTCACTGAGACCCGCTGGGGTCCAGAAAAGCTTAGCTAGCCCCCCCCCCCCCCCCCCCCCCCCCCCCCGATTGCTTTCAGCTTCTTGTGGCTCTGTGACCAGTGAGTCCTGGGTAATAAACTCCTGCAGGACCAAAGAGCTGTGTAAAGTGGTACAGAAGCACCCAAGCCAGGGTGGGAACCACGGACTGGCTGTGGGTATTGCTTTCCACACAAAGAATCAATCATGTCTCAATAAAACATGAAAATTTTGAGAAAAGTATCACCTATCACCTGGCTGAAAATCTGTATTTATTTTCAAATGTAAATGCACATTCAGTGCAATGCAACTTAAAAGTGATGTTAGAACCTGAAGGAGTCTCACCGTCCCAGTTGAAATGGTCCTAAGCTAACACACAGCTATGCAGCTAGAAAAGAGACAGATCCTGAAAGGCTGGTTAACTGTAAACAATTGCATGTGCATAAACAGCTGAGGCAATGCCATACCAACTTTCGTAAGCTAAAACAACAGTGACAAGGCTACGATACCTTGTGGTTTGTTCGACAGTGCTGCACCAGTTTAAATGCAATTCCTTACCTCCTTAAAGCAGAAGCAGCCCAACATATTTAATTTACCTAGTCTTGAAGAACAGAGCCTCACGTGTAGCCTTTTAGCAAAAAGTATTTTGAATTGTAAGATGTGTAACTCCAGCACTGTAACAAAATCACGCCTGCTCATTCAGCTCCTCTAAAGATTTCCTTACATATGCCAGTATTTAGGCCAGAAATGATGATTCATCATATGGACAAAAGTGATTCCAGGCTGGCAGAACTCAGTTGGTTAACATACCAAATGCTCTACTGCAATCACTATTTTGTTCACAGTTGAAGACTTTGTCATAGTAACACAAAACGGTTTTGGAGGTATTGTTACTGTAAAATTCCAGCAAAACAGTTCATGTACAGATAAAGGAATAGCTTGAAAGTAAAACTCATCCCCAAGTCAGTATTAACATGGTAACAAACAGGACATTTTGAAATGCTTCTCTCCCTCTTCTCTCACTTTTTCCTCCAGAGTGCTAGAGTACAGATCAGTCATGTCTTTGTAATTAAAATCATTCACTGACGGTTTTATGCATAGAAGAGTTTAGGGAAACTGCCACCAGATAAAAAAAACCCAAAAACCTAGCATGTTTAATATGCAGAACAAAACACAGTTTGCTTTTTTTTCAAGCAGTATGCCTTTCCAACTATTCCCAATAGAAGCCTAATGAATACTGAAAATGAAGCAATTAGTAATTGCTATGATACACTTTGCTTACTGGGTACACCTGCCTTAGCCTAGTAGTACAGTGCATCTGCTAAAAAGGAATTATAAACCAGATTATACCCATTACACCCCAAATTTATAGGACTCAGCATCACTAACAGAGCTCTTCCCTCAAGACTATTAGTAACCTACATTTTGATGATCCATCAGTTACATAAACAGAAATGAGAATATCACGGTTTTGAGAGACAGGATTGGATATTCTTGTTCAAAATCTTAGCAATTTCATTTGCAGGCTAAACAACGTTTTTCTGGTCTCTGTTTGGGTCCTGAAACCAATTAGAAGCTTCCGTATCTCTTGCCATATTCTACTCACTGCTGTAAAACACGAGGAGGAAATTCACCCAAGGCTTAAATACACGTGAATCCCTCAGACAGCTTGAGATACATGAGCCTAAAGACACTAAATTAAGTACCACCTGTGAATACATGTGATACATGCCCAACAGTGCCTACAAAACATCACATGTAACAAAATAGGTTCAGCTATATAAAAGATTTTGCAAATTATGCAAGCTCCATCACTTCAGAAAGGAATGACTGCAGCTACTGCATCTGTGAATATAGGCATCCTATTGATTTAGTTTTCAATGAGATACCTCCCATTTTTAACACCATTATGAGCATTTATGAGCCTTACCACATCTATAAGGCTTTGGTTTTCAACAGAAATACTGATTCTAGAAACAGTAGAACCATGTGCACAGAGGTCAGTGAGAATGCATCACTGCAGTACAAGAAGTCAGACACCTTCTCTCTGCAGGCTTGTTTTGAATTGTTTATTGAGGTTTAAGAAGTCATCCACATTTCTATAAATATAGACATTACTTGAGTAAGTGACTTACAATGTCACCAGTGCAGGTACATATATAACCAACATACAAAAGCTCCACTGGAAGCTACTTCAGTTTATTCAAAAAAGGACCAAGATGTCATTAAAAAAACAAACAGCTGTCACTTTCAGTTATTGAAGACACTAAAGTGCATTTTTGGTTAACTCCTGGTCGAACAGCTGCTGGTTCAAAAGTTTGATTTTTTTTTGTTTGTTTTGTTTTTAAAACATAGCTAAATTACATCAATTGACATTCACATTTGTAGCTGTCATCCTCCAGATACATGGCAGCAGGTAAGAAAAATGTATTACTTTGCTGGGTGAGTAAAAGGAGGAAATAGATTTTGCTATTTTTAAAATTTTTTTTTAAAATTCGGTATTTCCAACAAAAGTTTAAAGAGAATCTAACATTCTGATGAATTTTTACAGCACCTCTAAAGTTAGTCTTAAAAATCCAGGCTCTGTTTTAGCCCTTTTAATTGCTAACCAAGTATCTAAAGAGTCACTTGAAGCTCTGTACCAGTAAGAAAAACTACCCTCCCTTTTCCGTCAAGCACTATCCTGCCCAGTTAACACTGTTTGCACACTCTGTAAACAAGAACAGCTTAAAGCATAATTAAAGCAGAACACAGGCCCATCTTGAAAATCTTCTCTCCCCTTTCCCTCCCCCCCCACCCCCGCCCCCGGTCTAATGTCTGAGTGTATAAAGCATTATTACATTCCTAACCACAAAATACTGTAAGAGTCACAATAAAAAAAGCATACGTTGAAAGTGACATAGCAATACCACTTTAATAAAATGGGGTATTTTGGGGAGATACAAGATGTGCTCTGCTAATTTTAACTCCATCTTTACTTCGTTAAAATTTTGTTATATTGCCAGGAAAGTCACCAGTAGAGCAAGGAATGCTGCACTGGTTAGAACCACAGCCGTCACAGTTGTTCTTTATGGCTCCTTTACTGCAATTCACTGACTTTTACCTTGGTACTAAGGAGGACATAATACTCACCATTCAGAGATAAATTGCTAATTTTGAGTAACAGTTTAAGCCGGATTAGCACTGCATAATGATGAATGGCTACTTCTAAAAAATAAAACCCTCACATACCAAAAAACATGCTGTATGTTAGGAAACCACTTTTTCATGCTCCAGCGTGTTGTTTACATTTTTCACTTGTCAAAAAGTCTTTCTTTTATCAGTCAAAGAATCCACAGCACTTAAAATTTCAAGTATTTGAACTGAACATGACTCAATTGCAAGAAGTGCCAAATTAAAAAAAAACCAACAAAAAAACAACCCCTACACATGTAGCCAAGCTTTCATAGAAATCCCCAAACAAGGTAAAAAACCAGCCTCAATGAAATAATGGGTTACTAGCTTCATACATGTTTTTAAAGCTGTATAATGTTCACCTAAGCACTCCACTTACAAGCATAGGAAGTTTAAAAACACAGAACACCTTCAATGCAAACTGCTTGCAGAGGGCACCCTCAAACATATGAGTACAACACTAAGCAGAAAACCCTCATTTTATTTGGCTATTTAGACATCCATGTCACATATACCCACCCATCCATTTCCTGATAGCATTACATCATCTATTAGGGCTTCTGAAATAATACAGAGCCATAAAACTCAGAAGAGACTAGTAAAAAAAAAAAAAAAAAAAAAAACAAAAAAAAAAAAAACCCCAAAGTTCCCCAAGCCCAGACTTCCTTCCACCCAGCAAGGTTGTGCAACTGATTGTTTAACGTAACTAAGCTTAACGGCATCCAAACAGGCAGGCCTGGATTTGGAAGCTGTCTCACGTCAAATTTTGACCATGTAACTAGTCTGGAATAAAAAGATCAAAACAGAACTCATCTCTTCTTTTTCTGCTGCCTCAACATTTTCCTTCGCTTAATTATCATATCATGTAGTTTCTCCAGTCCCTCTTTGAGTCCATCTCCAATGATTGCACAGGTAGGCTGCAAATGCCAGGGTGTTGAAGAACTCAGCTCGCTCATTGCTAACATCTTCTCGATTTCAGAAAGGGAGAGAGAGTTCCTCAAGTCCTGCTTGTTAGCAATGATAAGGACAGGCACTCCTTGATTCTCGGATATCCTAGTAATCTTATGAAGTTCTGTTTTGGCCTCCTCCATCCTCTCCACATCGACGGAGTCCACCACAAACACGATGCCATCGGTGCACCTCGTGTACGACTTCCACAGCGGCCTCAGCTTCTCCTGGCCGCCCACATCCCAGAAGTGGAAAGTGACGGTTTTCGAGTTGCCCAGAGTCACTTTGATTTTCTCCGTATTAAATCCTTTAGTGGGGACGGTGTTGACGAACTCATTGAACTGCAGCCTGTAGAGCACGGTCGTCTTCCCGGCGCAGTCCAGTCCCAAGATGACAATGTGGAAGCTCTGGAAGGAAGGAAGGCTGGAGAGGATCGACGTCTGGTCCGAGAGTCCATTCCCCATTGCCAGCGGGGAAGGTGACAGCAGGCTGCCACGAGCAGAGGCGGCTCCCGCGGCTGCGCTCGGCGCCGCGCTACGCTCCGATCCTGCCAACGACACAAGGGAAGGGGACCCTGCCACGAGCAGAGGCGGCTCCCGCGGCTGCGCTCGGCGCCGCGCTACGCTCCGATCCTGCCAACGACACAAGGGCGT